ACTATACAACACGCAACATTTATAAATGAAAAAAGATAAGCATATTGTTTGTTTCATGAAATAATAATGAAAATGGATTAAACCTACCTGTAGATTCGGAAAGAGGCTGCTTCAAAGGAGTTTTCTCTACATGACTGGCTCTACGAGAGACAACTTGATCAGACTGATTAGACGAATGCAGGGAATCAAGCGGCCGATTAAATTCTTCCTGCCAACCTCTAGCGCGCAATTCCTTGAGTTCTTTTAATCTGAAGTGAAGATGTGAGCTAATTTTGATGTTCTTAATAATACGCTCCACCTTGTTCATTATCTCAGTAAGATAATCCTTGGAAGTTTCGTCAAAACGAGGTCCAATAGTAGAGACAAAAACCAGGAACGCTTCAAACATAGTCTCGCTCATATGTTCAAAGAAGTTATGAAGAGAGCATCGGACACTTCTGTCAGGTATAAATCCAATGAGGTAGAGCTCACCGACAAATTGCATATTGCACATGTAGGCATCTCGCTTCTTGTTAACTAAATTTTCCCTCTCAGCCTCAAGCATCTTTTTAACACTAGAATCCTGAGCAGCTTCGATCTTGGCATTGAGCTCGTCATTCGTTTTCTTTTCTATCTCCTTTAAGGAAGATTAATTCGAATGAGATAAATATAAATATATGCAGATAAATTGGGAGGACTTACCGAAAATGGGGTATGGAAATGAATATTAGATTTTTCGACCAATAATCCAGAGAATCCGGATTTGTGTAGAGGAACGACCAACTGAATAAAAAATTGTAAATTAACCAGGCTTTGCCTGCAATGCAAATTAAACACTAAGTCGAATTAAGGAAAAATGCCATGATTGACAAAAACAATCATAAATAATTGATTTCAAAATAAAGGACAACATGAATGAAACAGCCTACAATACACACGTCTTTGAGCCGGCGTGCCAGTTTGGCGAATAGCTTGCAAAACTTCGCTTGACCAATGGCCTAAAATGAAGGAAAGCACGATGACATAACATGACGGATTAAGCCGCTCTTTAAAAAGCGAAGACTCACCTTCTCGAAAACTAAACTTGCAAGTATATCCAACTCTTCTTGGCTTTTGATACAAAGTTCGATAATCTCTTTATGTATATCTAACATATTAGAATCCGTTAGCCGATTAAGGATAATATTGATCTTCCGACGTAATAATTTGCTTGTATCAGCTTCCACGTCGCCTTTGGCCGCCTTTAGGTATCCGGGTTTAAAAGCACCCTCTACACCTTTGACTGGGGCCATATTAGCATTGAGGTTAATTACACGGCCAGGAGCTGTGCCTCGATTTCTAGGCTAAAAGGAATAATAAATAATGGAAGCTACTCTATTATATCCATGTGATAAGGCCCTGTACCTATTTTGGCCGTCAGGATTGATCTTAAATTCCAACATAAGCGCTCTGCTATACATCTTTCTGCCACGAATAGGTTCCAATTTTGGCTCTTGATCAAGGTCGGGAACACTTTGAACAACTTCTTGATCGGAATCCTTGAGATGTGGTTTCTTAATTTCCACAGAGTCATCCTCACTATGAGTTTGAGGTTGAAAATTCTTTGCTAAATTAGGCTGTGGCCGATCAGAGGATTTCAGGGAATCACGCGTAATACAGGCCGTCGCGTCAACTTTAACGGAAGCCACAGAAGAATTTGCTTCACTGTCTTGACTTGGGTCCAG